TAAACAAACTTATTCATTTCCTGCTCCTGACCTGTGGTATTTTGGGGTTCAAATCCCTTTCCAGCGCAGCAACGTGCACACGGCTGCACATGGCAGCTTCAACTTTAAGAACCAGTAACCACAACATGAAAAAAGACTTAATTTAAGTGGTACTCAGTGCCTTCTGCTGCCCTTTAAAACACATCATTACAATGTGTTAAACCACAGCCTTGGGTATTTACTGCACACTTCCTACCTGAGACAAACATCAGCAACACAGAAAATGACACCAGCTTCATCACTATTAACATTAATATAGTCATTTCTGCAACCTGACAATAAAAAAGGCCATTATGTTATGTTATGTTGTTGCACTATAATTCAAATTTAAAATAAATGCACTGAAGTAAAACCTGCACTGACACAAATAGCTACTGTGTTGGAAAACTGAGCCTTCATCTAATGTTTTTTTTTTTTTTTTCTGCTGCAAAGGGGCTCAGTAAATCAAATCCTTTATACCTCCGGCTGGGGGTTCACTGCCTCACCACAGGGTGGGAGGACAGCATGATGGGAAAAACATGACGGGGTCTCGCTTTAGTGGGTCACAGACTCACAGGCAGAGCAGAGAATAATAAAGAGCTGCCGAACAGGTTGGAAGAGCTTTCTTGGATGGATGACTGAGACATAGTGACAGTTGGAGGTACAATATTGAAAAATAGTCAAGCAGAGAAAGAAGAATAAAGAAGTGGGGAAAATGAAGACATATTACTAGGGATAAGGCAGTAAAAACCCAGACCTCCAAATTTTAAGCATTTTATGCAAATGGGTGAGGAAACCTTACACTGCCAAAGGGCACAAAGACAGAACAAATAGCAATAAATTCTATGTAAATAGATAGGCAGACTTGGTTGGGATTTAGCTGAAGAAAAGGTTTTGATTAAACCTACAAAAATAACATGTAAATGATGTGTAAAATTTGAGTGTGTCTGATTTTTTTAATAATGTTAATGACAATATAGACATTAAAATCACCACTCACTTTCTCTCTGTACACATCTAATGCTCTGGAATATTTTAAAATATTATAGCATATTTCACCACAAGCAAATGTTTTACTTTGCCTCCTGTAAATATTAAGGAGAAATTCATGGCCTGGTCAGAGAGAGATGCAAATGTTTAGAAAATTGACATTAATTACATAAACTCAATCGTATTATGATCATTAACCTGATCAATTAACTGTCTCGGAAATTTTAAACCAGCTAAAATGTACAGTTAGAAAAAATTGACATAATTTGGCCACTTGAAAATAGACAACAGTTACGGCTTCCTCGCAACTCAAAATCCTCGACCCTTTTTCCCCCTATGATGTTGAAACTGTGTTGCCAATGTGTGAATCTACTTATAGCAGCTGCCTTGTGAAAATGAACAGTGATATTCAGGTGCTAGAGAGGGAATTAGATCGAGCAGGTAAGAGAGAGAACAGCAGAGTCAGCAGCTTGGATTTCCTAATGTTGAATTTATAGGCTGCGGTCACCTAATACTCTGAGCTGAGCTGTTCATCTACATATTTGCGATATAAATCACCAAGGTCTCGACATCTAATATTGACTTGTCTGGCTGTGGTGACTTTCCATGATTGATGACACAAACACAGCGAGTTCAAATACCAGCCCTCTGTTGCCGTGGAGTAAAAGAGGAGGAATGACCCAGGTCAAGTTGTCATCACAGAGATGAGAAAGGTCACTGTTATATAAGGGAAACCGGCAAAGCCAGTTTTTTAAAATGTTAATAATAGGCAGCAGCGTAAGGGAAATCACCCTGTTCACATAAATTATCAAGTGTCCAATCTTATTGGAGTGGCAACCAGGCACAGGAACCCTGACCCTTTCAGTCCATCACCAGGAAAACACACACAATACTGGAAATACGTGAGCAGAATGTTTCCACACAGTGGAGAAAATTACTGCAGGAAATCAGAGAAACTTATTTCTGTAACAAGGCCCCAGAGGTTCTCTTCGCAAGGGAATTAAGAGTATAAAGGCTTGAATAAAGGTGGATTTATGCCTTGTTTTTGAAGTTGATGATACAATTGATATAATTACATGGGAAGTAGTTTGAATTTACTATCACCAAGAGGAAAAAGAGGGGAAAAAGAAGGTGGTAAAAGCATCAGGTTGAACACCCAGGAGCGTAACAAGAAGAAAATGTTTTGGTCTGACATTTTAAGAAAGGTCGATGTGTAAATGTTAAACACATAAATGAAGTAAGCAGTGATGGGGTTAGGAAGGGTAAGAACTCATCAGGGAAGAGCTAAAAGTGATTCCTCATTGTAGTTTGATGGATTAAGAAGGAAAAGATGACATCCTATTTAGGGATGTCCGATAATATCTGCTGACCGATATCCTGCTAATATAATATCTGTATAATTATGCATAATTATGATATATGTGTACGACTTTTCCTCCAATAATAACAACCCCGATAACACAATGCCTGGGTTTCACCAAATGATGTGTGGCCTAAAAATAGTTTGGGGGAAAAACGGCTACATGTGAAATTGAAAGCCACTAGATGGCAGCATTGCAGCTCATTTTATGAATCTATTTTAATAATCAGGGGATACTGTTGTATGCAGCATGCTGGTGCCAGCAACTCAATATAGTTTACAGCTATATCGGTATCGGTTGATATCTGAGTCGGAAATTAAATGTTTTAACGATATTGACATATTGGATAGCGGCAAAATTAAAGTGGATCTGAACTGCTTTTTTTTCCCTCAATGTCCTTACTTATGTCTTACGATTACAGAAATTTTCCACTAATGTGTTTTTTCTTCTTGTGTATTTTCCTTCAGTTTATCTGTTGCCTCGACTGTTACACCAACCGCAATTTCCTCCTTCACCGACCTTCCTCCAGCCATATCCCTTTTTTGCTGCCTTGCAGATGAATATCTAATGCCCTTCTTTATCGTCCTTCACTCCTTAGCACCTAAAAATTCTCAACCTCAGTCCCTCTAACCTAACTCCAAACTGCTCAGCCATGATAGTCTGTCTAATCTGCAAATTTCTATTATATTTATCAGTTCAAAATCCTTATTCCTCCTAGTGTAAATCTCTGTTATTGAAAAGCTCCAGAAATAAATAGTACTGTGAATGTGTGAATTCATGGTACTATTACGTGAATGAAGATACACTGTCTCCTAGGAAATCCACTTGTATCCAAGTGTTAATCAAGAAGCTATTAACGCCTCAACTCATAATAACCTGACACTTCAGTGTTCCCTGGAGGCTACGGCAGCTCCATGGGTCGGTAGGTCAGTAGGTCAGAGGTCAGTGGTTAAGAGTCAGGCAGTCGACTTTTTAAGAACTCCAGACTTTGACCCATGAGGCTGCAGCCCTTCACATGTCAACAAACAGTGGAAGACGGAGCATCCTTCTCCAACTCTAATGAGCTGGGGACCCCCACCATCTTATTAATGGAAAGAACTAAATGGAAAATTACATTATACTGACATCTACTGGTTGGGCAGACTGACATCTACAGATGGGGCAGAATGCAGGTGGTTACCCAGAGGCTACTTTTGGAACGCAAGCCAGGAGTTAGCTTAGAGTGTGCAGTGAACCTAGTTACTATCTCTACTATCTCTATCGTTTGGAAAATCCTAATGCACACAGACAAGAACAGGCAAACTCCGAACAGAAAGATTCAAATAGCAGACCAGTGATCTTCTTGCTGCAAGAGAAAACCATTAACCACTTCTGCCACCGTGTGGCCCGAAAAGCAACAATACTATCTCAAGTTCCTAGTCTGCATATATAAATTAAAATGCCTAATGCACCTTATATACAATAATGAAATAACTATAAATCTTATGTTGCTGTGAAACAACACTACTCTCTGCAACAGTGGTTCAGCTTCTCCACTCTTGCTCTACTACCCTGGATGAACACTTCTGTTGTGTATTGTGAAGGTGGTGATGAGTTACTTTTCCGTTGAAGTCACTGACGGACAGCAGGCTACATTCGACTGTTGGTTTGTGTTTGTAAGAAATGTGACCATGTGGAAATCATTAGCTGTGGGCTGATTCAGCACACTGCTCCACGTGAAGCCTTGCCTGCCACCTCCAGGGTCAGTGAGTCAAACACTACAACAGAAGAGGACATGAACACAGACTACTACTATATATTGTACTACAGGTCTGATGTACTTGGCCTGTACTTGGTACTGATTCAAAAAGCGCAGAACAGTTCTACAATTTTTGATCGTCTTGTTGACTGGTTTTATTTTTAGAACAGACCCTGCAGGCACCTTAGTTGGTCCATGGGGGCTACCAAGAGCCCCCGGGCACCACGTTGGGGACCCCTGCTGTAGGACATAAAAACATCAGAAGAGTCTGACTTATGCATGGGTGCTATAATGAAGGCTAAAAAGATCCCAAAAAACAACACAATTGAAAGAAAGTGAATGTAGCACAATCCCCTGTATGGCCTACAACTGAATGAATACCAAGCTCAACCACATGTTTGTACACTCGGCTTGGCGTTAATGCTGTACGTTGGAATGACTGATCAAGACTTTCTTAATATATTTATGGGAGATGGCGACTTAACCGCAAGACACTATATGACGAGGATGTTGTAAAATGTGTGTGTGTGTGTGTGTGTGGGGTGCATCTGGAGGCGCTTCTGCAAAGATGTTCAGAACAACAAATCTTCCATCAACGAGCTAAACATACCAAGGTGAACCAAGCTGGCAGTGTTTATTTCCCAGATTTATCATTACTGGAGATGTTTCAAAATGTGCTAGAGAGAAATCTACGGCCAGGCGACATAGCAGAGATAAACTTTGTTTGATGGATAGATGGATAGATGGATAGAGATGAAGAAACATGTTAATGATAAATAAAAGTGATCGGTGTCCATTGGTTAGTCTGTTGGCTTTAGTCACTCAATTGTTTTTAAAGGTTTCTAGCTTGTTTAAAAATGACTGCAACTGAAAAAAGACAAGAATGAGTTCAAATCTGCTCAATCCAAACACTGGGCGATTTAAAGACTATAACTCTTCAACATTTCGTTGACTAAAGTCTGAATATGACTTCATAAGAGCCTGAAAAAGCCATCAAAGAAGTCAAACAAATTGACTGTGTCACAGGTGATATAACTTCCTGCAGCGCCGGGACTGGGTAGCTGCTCACTGCAGCTCATGAACCTCGGCAGAAGACATTTGGAGAATTCTAGAAATTTTACTATCTAAATAAGTCATAGTTCTGGGCACAGAGTCACACAGCTTCACACTGTGAAATGACACCATACCCACGGTTCTGCACGGGACACCTGGTGGTAAATGCTGCACTGCTGAACACATTAGCCAGTTAATGGGGCACTTAAAAAAATGTAGGAGAGCAGGAGCAAGAGGAAGAGCCAAAGTCAAAGGGCATGGAGGGGGCAGTCAGAAAGAGAGGCTGAGTGTAAAAGTTGAGCAAGTTGAGGAGGGAAAAGAGGCATGATGGAGAAGGGGGAGACAACGAGGGGAAGGAGAGGGAGAGGGGTAAACCACCAGAAAGACATAAATAGGCGAAAGAGGACTTGGAGCCTCGCAGTCAGTCTTTCAGACGGCCACATCCACCACTCTCCTCTCCCCTTCTCCTCACCTCCAGCCCTCCTCTCCACTCATCTGCATCCCTTCATTCATCTGGAAACCTGAGCAAAAAACAGTGAGTAGTTTCTGCACCACACCGACAGCACAGGGAGGTTGTGTTACTGTAGTCTCTCTGCAGAGGAAATATGCATTTTTAACTGATGTCAGTGAGATGAGATGCTGGCTTGAATTTTATGTAGAGATGATTTATTTAAATAGGAGCATTGCTATGGCTTTAACATGTGGAGAAAATATATTAGTCATTATTGCAATGAGGTTGTTGCTCTTCATGTCACTAAAGTATTTCACAAAAATGTATAAACCAGTGCATGCAAATAGCATTTGGCAAAAACTGATGTTCTCAAGAGTCATATTAAACTGCAAGGAGTATGGTTGTGCTACACATGAATAATAATGCATGTTCCAGTGACAAAAATGTTCATTATATAGGCATATTTACAGTTTTAGCATCAAACTCATGCAGTGGCATCTTTGAACAAGTAAAGCAGAAAGATACTGACGATGATGTTATGTGGAATCCACTATTGGGAAATTCAGCTGGCAGAGCTTTATGTCATTATGTAATATCTGCTAAACAGGAACAGAAAGGTTCCACTAATCTGCAGAAACATTTCACCACAGAGATGTTAATTAATGACAGATTGCCCGGTCTTAAAGCCGCATTTCCCGAGACTTAACAGTGGAAAAGAAAAGGTGGAAATCACACGAGACATGTCCCCACTGACTCACATTCTCCACTTGTTAAAATCAGCAATAGTACAGTCAGAGTCTTTTTCCTAATTGTATTTGCCTTGTTCCAAAGTCTGAGCAGACAAACCAGGACCAGAAAAACGAGGAAGTAACAAAGTGTTCCCCACTTTAAATTAACGAGTATAAATTACAATAAAACTTTCTTTTCCTCTAGGTCGCTATCCTCTTAAATAAAGCACTGATCAGAATGGACTACCTAAGGAACAATCTCCACATCTTCGAGGCACTCTTCCACCTAATTGTCATGATTCTGAATCTGGACCGGGGGCTTGATGCCATGCCTGTTCCCACTGATGTTCCAATGTGCACAGCCTCAGAAACGGCACAGTACAGTCTAACCTTCACTGGCAAGTGGACCCCGGCGGCTTTCCCTAAGCAGTATCCAGTCTACAGGCCCCCAGCACAGTGGTCAAACCTCATTGGTAAGTGGAAGGTGAAAGGTACAGGTGCAATCTGAAATCTATTATTATGGATGTTAGCATGTAAGTCACTAACAGTAAGCTGGATGGCTAAAAACAAGCCAAAGTTTTTGATATATAATTAGAATCTAACAATTTATAACTAGATATATACAATTATTGTATAGATCAAAAAGACAATATAGTATTTAAACATTTAAAATGACTTCTTTGTTGGTTTTCACCAATGCAATATCAGTTTGAAAACACACAAACACATACACAGAAGTAACCTACATTAATACTACACACTGAATGATAAAAACTAAAACCAAAAATGACTCCCTCAGCAAATACAATGTACATGGACTGACCAGCGAAAAGCAAAGCCCTTATGCAACCTCTCAATTCCTTCTGCTCTCAGGCTTGACTCACAGCTCTGACTACCACATGTGGCAGCGTAATGACTTTGCCAGCAACGGTGTGAGGGAGTTTGCAGAGAAAGGCGAGGCCTGGACGCTCATGAAGGAAGTCGAGGCGGCCGGCGAACGCATCCAGAGTGTTTATGGGATCCTGTCGGCTCCCGCTGTCGTGGGAGGAACGGGCCAGATGAACACCGAGTTCGAGGTCTCCACCAGGCACTCCTATGTAAGTTACTCAACACCTGGATTCCTCCAGTGTGAACAGGCCAAGTACATCAGACCTGTAGCTGATAGGTGGAAACACAAATCAAGGTGGTGTTGGGTGGTTTTGCCCTGAACTGAGGAATTTGACGGAGCTGTTTCCAACCTGTTCGCACTTACGTAATGTATTTGAACAGTCTACAAACAGTGGAATCCTTTCTCTGACAGGTGTGGAAAACACTTTTTTGTAACATGTGAACTCTTCATATGGACTTCATGTGAACATCAACTCAAACATAAATTGATTGTGCTCATATCTAGTTACTCAACTTTCTCTGTCCACAGCTGTCATTTATAGTACGGATCATTCCGAGCCCAGACTGGTTTGTAGGTGCGGACGGTGTCAGCCTGTGTGACGGCGACACCTGGAAAGAGAACATTTCTCTGGACCTTTATCCATACGACGCAGGAACTGACAGTGGCTTCACCTTCTCTTCACCAAACTTTGAAACTATTCCCCAAGACAAAATCATGCAGGTGAGTGAGCGTTGTTTTCATTATTATGACCTTTGACAATATGACAAGACATCTCTTTATATCACAAGCCATGACTCAAACTCCATCTCCTTCTCTATAGATCACCTCCTCCTTTCCCAGCCACCCTGCCAACTCTTTTTTCTACCCACGCTTGAAACACCTTCCGCCTATGGCCAAGGTAACACTGACCAAGGTGAAGAAGACCAATCAGATCATCAGCCTGCCCCTGGAACCCACCCAGTCCAACCTCCTGCCAATAGGAAATGAAATAGAGGATACGCTTATCAGTAAGGACGAACATCTGTTGATATAGAGAACCTACATTAAAATTGTTGAATGAAATAGAAATGACAGATTTCAGCTTGTAAAAAGCACACAATACATTATAATGGCTTTACAGCATGTGAAAAGGCCTTCAGAATACAATGTCTACAATGCACCACAGTGTAAAGTTTCTCTCACATAAATCATTGTTGTGAAGCTACCCAGGAGTTTTTAACACCTGCGGAGAAATATGTTTTAAAGTGTGGGCCTTTGTTCTTTGTCAAACACGATACCTGTGTCGTGCTGTCATCAGAGATATGCAAAAGCATGTCAGAGAAATGCTTTAAAGAGAAGTCTGAAAGGTACAAAAAAAGTGTCTTGACGGCACACAATAATAAACAAAATGTTACTTTTGTTGAGTTTTGGTTTAAGTAAGGAAAAATCAGAAACAAATATTTTTCAGGAATAGAAATGGATCCACAAGTGAATCACATTTTCCTCCAAGTAAGAGCCAATGCATGTGATGGATCTGTGGTTTTAATAATGTTTATAAAAAGTTGATTTCAACATCTGGCTGATTGAACCTCCTGTAGTGATGCACAAACATTGTCACAGAGAATGTTATTCAACTGAACTCCACCCTAAAACTGACCCAGCCATTGGGGAATACTGTGGTGCTACAAAACATTACAACCCTAAGGCAATTAACCAAATTTTCTTAGAACATTGTAATGATTATTTCTGATGAATGTCCTCCTCTCTTGATACATGTAGCTTAAGCGTTGATTTGGTCGGTTAATTTATTACCTGCTCTCTAGGTCTAAATTTATTCCTTCCTCCTTTCCTTCCTTTCCTCCTTTGCCGTCCCATTCTCCAACTTTTTAAATGTACCAGGCATCTTCAGCCAATGTTGCTCATGAGCTCATGTTCGGCTAATATGTATCACAGACTTGGTTGTTGGTTAGAGAGTGCAAAAGCAGAAATGATTGGAGAGGGGCGCGGAAGCTGCACTGATGGGCAGCTGTACAGAGCGTTGAAAGGTGCACTTCAAGGTTGAAGCTGACGTAAGCATTTCCATTCATCTTTAGTGTCCATTAAGGACAGAACGAGAAAGTGTTGAGAAGATACAGAAAGTACCTTCACTACTTTCTTTTCTATTATGCAGGGTAGGAGAAGGGACTTTTTTTTTAAGATAAACATTAGAACAGGTGACTGGTACACGGCAACGTTGTAATTGTTTTCCAGGCTTCGGAGAGGAAGGCATAAAAGAGATCGAGGGAAAGATAAACATTCAAATGGGCAGGATGGAGGTTTAGGAGCCAGACAGGAAACCTCAGCAGATTTTTTGGCCTTTCACTGATGTTTGTTGACGAGTTGTCAGGGGAAACAGACTTATAGTCTGCAATGAAAACTGGAAGCTTAACAGTGATTCTAAAAAGCAAATCTAATTACAGCATTGTTACAGCGCCACTGCCATGTTGAGGTTCTATCTCTTCATTTTGAACCACCTTCTCCTGGTGGAGTCACCTTTAGAGTAGGTGAGAAAGCAAATTGATTCTGTCTGCTTCTTTTACAATCTTGCAGAACACGAATCACTTGGACAGGTGGTTTGAGAACCTCAGCCTTTGACATTCCACTTTTATCTCGCTGAATTCATACTTGACCTTACAGTTGTCATTTTACTGTTTCCAGTCACTTCTGAAGTCTGAGAACCCCCCCAAAATGTTCAACAACCTTCCAAAAAAGGCTCTGTGTACCATTTGACCCACAATTTGAATGCTATTGTAGATAATTTGCACGTTCTTTTCTTACAGTGCTCTTTCACTTACTCTGTCTCTCATGTTTCAGTTTTTTTCCATTTAATGCCAGATGTGCCCCTGGCAGTTTTCAATGCCCTTCACTCACTTATTTTCTCTGGTTTCTGGCTGGAAGTATTTGTGTGTGTGTGGCCCCTAATTGTTTGCAGCCCTTGATACTTTAATATTTTTGTCAGTAAAAGTCAAAGACTTATTCCTTGATTACTGAATATCAAATAGGATAAGGCTGCTGGGGACAGGGATCTGTGACTCCTGGTCTTATCAATGTGTTTGTTTACCAGGGTCAGAAACTAGTTAAGCCTAACTGCCCTGCAGGGTAACTGCAAATCTCCTGATGTTATAGCTGAGCTACATCTGCAGTAATGAAACTAATTTTTCCCTGCAGGCCATATTGTTTCAAAAATGTTGTTCTATTACAAACCATTACATGTAATTTTACAGAATTATAAGATATCATTTAAAGGAATCACTGCTTTGTCCAAGGACACATTAGCATCTAGACTAGAACGTCAAGGTCAGATCACGCGAGTTGTACAGGACTTCTTGACATACATTCATGTATATGTACAGTACAAGTAGTGAATCATTTTGTCATGCCTTCACAATGAAGAAAAGTAATACGCATGGGATCATAAAGCCATTTCCACTAAATAAAAACTACTACTAATATTACTATTGCTGAAACATGTTTTTTGCATGCTGCATGAAAAAGTTAGAGTTATAGTTAAAAACTATAAAAGAAAATCAAAAATATATTACTAAGGTAAAGCAAAGCTAATAACATACTACGTAGGTTAGTATGTTAAAGATGTTCGAATGTATGATTGACTCATGCTTTACATGAAGCTTAACATGCGTTTGAATGGAGTCAAAACTATAAGAAGTCACAATCTATTACACTGTAAATTGCAATATATGTTCTAACAGTGACATTATTAAACTGAAATATATTATGAATCCTTTTAAAGCACAGCTAGTTTGCATGTTGACAAGTCTGTCGACCCATTTATCACCATGGTCATATTTAAAATGTTCACCGTACATTAAAAAGCATATAAGGTTTTTATATCTTCATGTGTTTAAATCTGGATGTAATACCAGTGCCTGTGGACAGCTGCTGCTGCTGCTGCACTGGTATTTTAGTGTTTTAGTGTTGAATACTTATTTCTCCCCACCGTGACTCCAGCAGCACAGCCACTGCCAAGAATTTACAGCGAGTAGCTCGTGCTTCGTAAAAAAGCTAGACCCGCACCATGCCACCATTTACGGGAATTCCGTTTTAATAATGTATTTAGATTATTTTTCGAGATGAATGTGTTCTTAGACCACCGTTATGACTTATTCAATGGGAGTCATGAAATGGAAATTTAAATTTATGCTCTGTCATGTTAGTGTAATAAACACAGCCTTCTGAAAAACTGGAAAGGCAAAAGAGTGCAGGCAAGAGAGCCAGGAAAAGATCAACTGTAAAAAGTTGATGAACCTAAAACGCTGCACCTCTCTCTCCCTCTCCTCCAGATACCCCTCTGGACTGTGAGGTATCCATGTGGTCTCCCTGGGGTTTGTGCAAGGGCAAGTGTGGAGACTCAGGTGTGCAGCACCGCACTCGCTACATCCTCATGCATCCTGCCAACAATGGAGCAGCCTGCCCCCTGTTGGAGGAAGAGAGGAAATGTTTCCCAGACAATTGCTTATGACTAGGCCGGGAAAGGAGGGAGAAAAAGGAGAGGAAAGAGAGGAGGGAGAGAAAAGAAAGGAAAGGCAGAAAAGGAAGGAAGGGACGAAGAAGGAGAAACAACAGTAAAAAGCCTTCGCTATATTTACATTAAAAAGGGATTCAAAATCTCTTTCTTCTCTGCCTTGCAAGCAGCTATGTGTAGGACTTGTGTGAGTCCATAGGGCTGAAAAGTGCTGATGGCACCTGGTTTTACGCAGGCCACACACCAAATGCCCATATGTGGCTTGAAGGCTGATAGTAACTCATTTTTGGTCACATGATTTGTCTACTCCGAACCCAAGGTCTTTTTTTTTTTATCTCTGCAGCCTAAATAAACCCACGCAGGGCTGCCTTGACCTGTTGGCTGTGTGGACACTCCCTGTCCTGGGGGATCGATTCAGTCTAATTCTAAGGTCTTTAAATGTTAAATGTTAAAAACTCTGACAGCACTAGAGATTTGTACTTGTACAGTTTATTTTAGCACATAGTCAAAACTGGTAAGAAAAGTGTGTATTTTAGAGAAAAAATCACAACAAATAAAATGTTAAAAAGCTGGATTTGTTTGACATATCTGGAGAACACGCAGAAATGTTCTGCCTCCCAGCAGCTTCAGTCAAAAAAAAATTGGGAATAGAGCAACACTTCAGTCCTCATATCCATGACTTACTGCATTGGCTAGACTACAGATGAGTACATAGACTAAAAACAATAATGTTTACATGAACATGTGGTTATTTTCCCGAAGACCAAGAATATATTATTAACAGGATTTTAACCTGTGATGTACAGTATATCACCTGATGTGTCTCCATATATCATCTGATTTGTATTCCTTGATGTAACTGGGATTAGTTGAATGGAGGTAAATGGTAAATGGCAGTTATGGTCAGAGAAGAACCTAAATTCTACAAAAACAGTATGTTTTTTCAGTATGGTCAATAAAGTGTAAATATACCTGAAAAGCATGTCTTTGTATATGTGTTTTTTTTTACATGAGAATGAAACAGGATCTAATAATCATCAAAAGTTTTAAAGCTACAAAGGCTAGTCCTCAGTGAAAACTCTCATTCACCCGGGTCCATGGACTGTTTTCAGGAAATCAACTTAACGCTGAATATCAGCCACCCGTTTGGGCTGAATGACAAATATGTTCCCGGGATAATACAACAAACACTCAGGCTGCAGGATCGATTTTTACAGAGAGGCCCCGGTACAGGCGTCACTGTTGGCCGGGCTCTGCCCTAATGAGGTGTACTTTCTAAAACTGTCGCTCAACCACAATTTAAAACAGGTCCACACATGTTGACTCAGATCAAGAGTCCTGGAATCTTAGAAAGAGATCACTTCATTCTATAACAGTCCAAACAGCACGTTAGAGACAAAGGCCTTCTATAATGGACAAAACAGACACATGGTTACATGCTATATGACTTCTTTTTCATATGTGAAACAGATAGAGGTTGGCTCAAGCCCCTCCCACTTTCCCACAAAGCTTTTGAGAAAACCATACTGCAGGTGGAAGAGACTTAGCAGCGTCAGAAGATAAACATCCTGTGCACGGGGGAGCATTTTGTTTTCAATAAAGAAAGAGGTCAAATCTGTGAGGTTTTATTGGGTAGAGAAAATGTACAATAATGATTCTAATTCAGATAAAGGCAGCACATTTTCTTATAATTCAGTGTACTGCTCTGGGAATTTTCTTGAGTTTATCTATTGAACTGAACTGTATACTTGCCAACACTGAGTAGCAATACTTCAATAAATATGCAATGTACTAGAAACCAATGTTAAATAGGTGGGAGAATGGTGAGGACATCTAATATTATCTGCTTACTCCTTGCAGGGTGGCGATGGGGGCAAGGGTGGGCGCTGGGGCCAATCCTAGCTAACAATATGCAAAGGTTCAGTTCACAGTTCACCAGTCCATATAGAGACAAACCACCATACACATTCACATTCATACCCAAGGTATACATAGAGTGACTGATTCACCAAATTCCCTTAGGTGCATTATTATTATTATTATTATTATTATTATTAATAATACTATTGACTATAAATGTACTCTCTATCTTATTATTTTACTATTCATTATTTATGTATTTTTGTATTTTGTATGTTTACTGTAGCTTGATTGTTGATTGAATGACTCAAATTGTAAGTCGGTTTGGAGAAAAGCATCTGTTAAATGGATTGTAATGTAAAAATAAATAAATAATAGAGTTTCGTATTAGTTCCACAATGTGGAAATTTACAGTGAGTATTTACAACTGACATGGGCTGTCACAGGAGGCACCATTAGGGATATGTGGTTTCTCTGGGACTCAAACCCCTGGACTAGTTAGTTAACAAAGTTAACACACACACAATATCTTCTAAAGACTGATGAGGTGTATGGGCTTCGTCTATTTACTGCACCATTAAACTGAGAGGATGGATTAGCATATTCAGTGGTACAGGGGCATCTCAATTGTTTTATTAAATGCTTGAATCGTAATACAACAATTCTTATGGTAAATATTCAGATGATAAAACACCTCTGAACAATTATTGACCTATGTTAATAAAATACCCACGTCTGCAAACTTCAGGAATAATACCAAGATTTGCAGCCAGTTGTAGTGAAGGTCCACTGGGAAGTTTGTAAGTATAACTACAAAATATTGTCTATCAGTATCTCTATATTAACTGATTACCAAGGATTCTAATGCACTGACTCGAGGGTAGGCAAGTAGGTTTATATATCTAAACTATTTTGAATTAATCACAAAGATAACAATTCTACTCATAATAGGGAGGTCAAATATCTGAGGGTTTGATTTGGCAGTGATGAATCATCTCATTGAATTAAGAAGAAATAAGAGGTCATTGTGGAAAAGACTAGATTTCTTGGCTGAAAATAAATGATGCTGATGCTGAGGAGAGAGGACCTGTCACTCTAATGGCTGGCAAACGTCCAGCCTATGCCAATAAGGGCACACTGACACAGCACAGGCCGGTATGGTTCACCAGGTTCACTGATGAGCAGCCAGCCATACAGTGGGTGATTAGAACAGCAGGAAAAATCATCGGGTGCTCTCCTCTGCCTGATATCAACACCATCTCTGCCTCCCACTCCCTGCAACGCTTACACCAGATCCTCAGAGACTCATCACACCCCGCTTACCACCTGTTTCAAATTTTATCATCAGGGAAAAAGGTTCAGATCCAGCACAGCCCAGAACAATGAAAATGGTCAATCCACAAATCAGAGAACTGGCACCTCCTGTCTAGTTAGACTGGAACTACCAACCTTAACACAACATTTCTTATAACACTGTCCCCTACATACACCACTTGCACCAACATTCGAATATTTTTTGTTTAATATAGTTTTTGATACAAGTAACAAATGTTACCTAGAGAATTTTGAACTCTAAGCTAAATGACCAAGTCTATGTAATGTGACACGACTACTTTTAAGCTAGCCTGGCCTGGTGTATTTAATGTTCGCACATGAATTGACATTGATTGTCACAGACTCACCTCATACACCAGGACACTATTTTGTGTCAATCGCACCTTGATTATTACTCTACAAATCCTATGTGCATAGTGAGATGAATCCAGGTCACTATAACAAACCAGACAACTGCAACAACGTATCCATAGGAATATTGTGCACGAAGAGGGAAAGTACGGTTAATTACATATTATTATAATTGCAGGTATCCTGAGGTCTGGAGAGACTAAAAACGATGACAGCTTATTATTATATTGATATAGTAGGATTCACATTTTCTGTAGAAGCACTGGAGTGTAGGAGGAGAGAGAAATACGACTCTGCTTACTCTTACGTTGACCTCTTTTGCAGATGTTTAATGTGGGAAAGGATTATTCTCTGTGCGGGTGTGTGTTAGGGTTCACTGTACTTCCTTTTGTAGGTGACCTGAGGTAAGCATATGGCAACAATTGTATAATACGTGTTATTTTGTATACTTTTTGGAGGTTTCAATGTAAATAAAATTGATGTTATCTGTGATGACATGTGTGGTGCCTAGACTGTTTGAAGATTAGTATCAAATCAAGTTACAACAAACCAATCTGTTTAGGAATTTTTCTCCTTGAAATCATTACTTTACAATACATTTTTACATAAACCTAATGAGTCCGCAAAATTGGATAATTATAAGGTACACAAAAAGCTCTCACACACACCCTGATAATGAAAAATCACCACAATCATATTAGGGCAATCCCACTGCAAAAACAGCAGTGTCTCAATTTTCCCAGAATCAATTCAGGAATTATTGTTTAAAACTTAATACAAACTGACTTCAAAAATCCATGTTCCAGAAATTTGTTTTCATGTTTGTTCCGTCATGCGCGGTATCTAATTATGAAAGGTCAGCCATTTTGTTAATCTCAGGTCATGGTTTGAAAGTTTATTCACGATTGGCTTAAAGTTCAACCAATCAAAACAAGGCAAGTACGGTGTGTGGCGTAACACAGCACACAGCTGTTAATTTCTCACCCTCACTTTTTTCTGCCCTTCATTGAGGCCTAGGACACTGGTGTTGTTTTGTGGAATACACTTCAAGCTTCACTCTGAATCTGCTAACTATATAAAGAGGCATCTAAACTACAAGCCAAGTATTTGTCAGTGGGAAGTGTATTATAATCCAATAATTCACTGTTTACGCGAAATGGATTTTCGAGGCATTGGCTTTCTGCTCCAATGTTACCTGGTGTTGGCAGCAGCCATGTATTTTGATCTTGGTGAGCAGGAGGAGAAATGTATCATTGAGGAGGTTCCTGAAGACACACTGGTGACTGGTAAGTCCTGCATGGGGAATATTCCTACTCTGTGTCAGTGTTTTTATTATTACATGTTGTTATATCAAGGGAATGCTATTTGCAGGTCTACTTGGTGAAGTGACTATTATTGTTAAATTACAGCCTTTTTTACTGTTCTTTCAAAAATGTAGTACGTCAATTGTGAACATATATGGTTGAACTTTAAAAAAAAATCACAATAAAATGAATGTACGTATGGTTGAACTTTAAAAAAAAAATCACAATAAAATGAATGTAAAATAATCTATTTATTTGAGTAATATGTTTAATATGAATGTTTAACGTAAGAAGGCTGTGATATGGAATAGAGCCAGGTGCTTTTGTACACATGGAACACATGGCCTTTCCATACCATCAGGTTTCTTCCTGTTGGAGCCCTGGAATTTACGAACGGCCACCCACACGCCTCACTTTGGCGTCACAGTGACAATCAGAGATCCAAACCATGAGGTACTGCACTTACAGGAACGGTTCTTCACTTGAGACATGTGTGTATGTGATGTCAAGCTAAAACAAGTGTTCACTAGATTTTCCACATTGATACCAGGCCAACAAGGTCAAGTAATGTATTAAAGTTTAAACATTGCTTTAAGAATGTTACCCTAAGGACCTGTGATTCAGCTGTTTCCTTCCTAAATAAAAACTTTATTGTCATAAATAAGTAGACAAGAGGAAATAAGAAATGCCATTGTTTTTAAATATGGTATCACATTATTTTTGTACTACTGAACTGATCACAAACTCCCAACCTATCACTCCTATGTGTTCATCTTTAATGTGCTACTAACTCACTGAAAAACAAATGTTGCCTTGACAATGTGATTTTTTTCCCTTCTCTAGGTTCAAATGACCAAACGCTTTAGTAAATTTGGCAAATTTACCTTTTCGGCTCATGCCTCTGGACAGCACTACCTTTGCTTCCAAACCAATTCTACAAGATTTTCCGTCTTTGCAATGGAAAAACTGGTGAGTTTTCTCAACCTCTGATCTGCTCATTTCTAAACTTGGTAATACCCAAATCTTCATTCCTGCCACCTCCAACTCAGCTTATTGTCCATTGGACAAAGTCCTTGGCTCTAAATCAAACATCACAGCAAGTCTCACTGTCACTGTCAAACTCAATTTCACAGTGGGCCAAAATTAAAAACAGGGACAAAAATGTGGGCCAAACTCAATATTTATAAAAAAATTGACTTTCCTGATTGATTTTTCTTTCTCTCCACATACTGTACGTAATGTTGAGTTCTTTCATATGGAAACAAACTTTAGTTTTGCGTAAACATCCAATCTGGAACAACCAAAGCCTAATATTATAAACACATGAGACACACATCATTGATATTCATTTCGTTTATCTCTATCTCTCACCTTTCAAGTTGCTTTTTAACGTATGTTTTTTACAGGCCAACAAAAGAACAACAAAAAAATCGATGTGCTATAATATCGTGCATAAATCGCTAATACTACAAACACTGCCAGTATATAGTGGATATATAGTGGCAGGCCAGCTCTAATAAACATTTGATATGATGTCACGGGCCAAATATGATTACACCATGGGGCCAGATTTGGCAATTTCGCAACAATGGGCAATTTATTTAGGCTAGGGGACCTAACTAGTTACCTACAGTACAAAAAGAACTCAATTAGGTCACCAATATGAATTGAACATCACTCATCGTCTCAGTTTATGAAACACACTCCCATTAAAGCCTTTAGATTAGTTCATATTTCATTGTTCTTTTCAGTTTTTAGTTTTTGACAACTATAACACGTCATGTCCACTTGTGTGTGCCATCTTCTTTTTCCCATCATTCTACTTATAATGATTATTTAATTATCAACAACAATACCACACAACCATCATTGAATTATACAAATGTGTCCTTCTTTTCTGTACAGAAGCTGCATTTGGATGTTCAGATGGGAGAACACCCAACAGACCCCAATATTCACAACACTAATGATGACATAGAGTCACTGGAAAACAGCCTGATGCATCTCAAAGATCAGATGAAGTACATTACCAAACAGCAGGAGTATCAGAGGGTAAACAAAACAACCTTTCTATAGGTTTGATCTTGTAGTACACAATTACATTTAATTGATCTAAAAACATAAAAAAAATTCTGCTTTTCTTTGGTTCAGGAAAAAGAGGAGGTGTTTCGTCAGATCAGTGAGGAGACCAACAGTAAAGTACTGTGGTGGGCCGTGGTGCAGACCTCTATACTGTTGTCAGTGGGTTTCTGGCAGATGAAACGACTCAAAGATTTCTTCATCGCCAAAAAGCTTGTCTAAAGATGAAAGCTGACCTGTCAGCACTGTAGCTGTTTATTACCAACATCTGTCTGAGCGAAATTACTATTAGGCCTTGTACATTGGAACATAATGCTTTACTGTATATCCAACAGAGCACGACAAAATAAATCTCTTAGATTAACAAAAGATTTAAACTATGCATGCAAAACCACAGTATTTTATGGTTCACTTCTGTTGAGTTTTATATTTAAAACAATGGTTAATTATTGGGTTAATTGTTAATTAACAATTGGTTAATTCTAGCTCAGTGTAACACTATTAACCTCTCAAATAGTGTTGTTATAAGCCACTTATCAGAAAACAACACTGAATTTTTAAATGTTGAAAAGACTGTGTCTTAATCTCAATAAAGAAAAAACTACGAAACAGTGAAGCTTTCCTTCTTATTATTCCCTTCTTAAACTTAAAGTTTTACCTACCTCCATGTTGTTCATCTTGTTAGTGCTCGTTAGTCCTGTGTATTGTGATTGTTCAGGGTGTAGCAGCTTGCCTCTGAAAGAAGGAAACACAAAACAATGGTCATGTACATCATTAGTATTACTCAAACTAACATCATTATTATTCAAAGTACTTTAACTGCCATTAACTACATTGCTTTTGTGGTATTAGGGCCCTCTGATGTCCAACAAACAAAAGAAAGGTGAAGGCCATAAGAGTGAAAAAAAAAGAAAAAAGAAAATACAACTATAAGCACTATGAGCCATTCTGATAATTTAAATAAAATTCCTACTCTAAATTGTTATTTATTTTATATTTGTCATTGTATTTCCCCATTGACAATGACAATTTTTCACAGCAAGGTACGTTTTTCATTGTGTTTAACTTTTTGCTCTCTTAGTCTCAAATTTCTTAAACAATTTATTCTTTATTGAAAAGAAAAGTGTGAATATTTATCCATATGTGTGACTTAGCTTCAATTGCGTGATTTACCTGCGTTAATTTAGGGGAATTACAACGCATTTGTATTCCTTTCCAAACTGTTATCCAAATTGACCGTGACCATTGTTCTGACTTTACGGTAAATGTGAAGGAATTACCGTAAATAATGTAAACGGAACGGGAATTGCGGCTAATTTAAACAACGTCATTCATAGAAGGTGGTTCATCTGTTCAAATACAAAGAAATAACGAGCTGAAAAATGATAACAATTATATAATTAGGTTTACAGCGTAGTCCAGAGCTCATAAGTTGCTGTGAACCGCAAATAATCAGATATAATTAGGATTGTACAACTTTTGTTCTTTTGTTTCACGCAGACAGAGTTAGCAGTGGTTAGCAGGTAAGCAAGCAGTTGTGTTGAAATTGAAAGTGTTGAAGTTGAAAATGGTTTCGAACACCCTTTTTTGTTGTTGCAGCAATATTTTTAAAATGTAAGGGATTACTTTTTGTACAGGATGTGTATGTCGGAAATTGACTTTAACAGCTAAAAGTAAAAACTTAAAACTGTTGAATTATGGTGAGCTTCAATGATTATAAGCTAAAAATGGGCATTTTGGTTTCCAAATGGAAGCTAATGTGTGAAATAAATATCACAAGTCTTTTCTAATATATTTGTAAAAAACAAAACAAAACAAAAAAACTAGATCATAATCCAGGTATTTGGTATCTTGCGCAGTGACCTTTCATTTCTTGGTTTTGTGTTTTGTAGTGTGAAATGTCTTACTGGATCTGCTGCAACAAATGCTACCTTTACCCCAGTCCTGAGAGGAGACTGGCCGTTACAACATGTGGTCATCTCATCTGCAATGTCTGTTATCAACAAGGTAACAGATCCACGGGATGAACTTGCCCCAAACACACGCCTCACGTTTGACCTGATGCAGCTGACAAGGGAGGCAAACCTGATAAGACAGAGACACCTGCTGGTTTTAAAACAACGTTACACTCCCTTTTCCCTTTCCTTTAATCAGCCAATCACTTTACGAAGAAAATGAATAGCAGCAACTTTTAACAAAGAATTGCTAGTGGCAAACGAGTAGATATAAAAACAACAAATATGTTAATATTATTTCCAGAGAACAATAAAAAAATCTAATCACCAGCATCATGGACTAAATTTCAGAAGATCTTCCAATGTCTATTTTATCTTGTTTAAAGGACTGTAAATATGTAATATATCCTTAGATTGAATTTGCTTTGGCTGCCAGCAGTGAATCAAGGGTGACATACTGACCAATTAACTTTATGTTGGTTTATGTTTTGTATGTTATGTTTACTTTATGTTTATATTTTTATTGACTGTTCTGTAATTGCAGGTACACAAGGAAACTGTCAAGTTTGTGGAGTCAGTTGTCAAGTATCACCACTTTCTAACAAAGTGGGCATCTCTTATTCAGTAGCATCTTGTGAGCTTGTCTAAAGCACAAAACATCACAGTTTTATATTTTTATTATATATATATTTTTTCTAGAGCAACCCAGAGGTTAAAGCCTTGTTTTCTGACATCAAGGATGTTGCAGCCAAACACTTTGCAGAAATCAGAAAGGTTAGTTATGTTTTACAACTGAATTTAGGGTTACAGATTAAAAAAAGTGTTTACAGTTTTTCTTTTTTTCAAGGTTGTACTGTTTCAGACAAGACATCAGAAAAGATTGTTGACTTACTACCAGCAAAGGGTGAGAGCAGGTTATATTCTTGCAGTTGCACATTTTTTCTGCATAAAATGAAGATTTTTAGTGTTGAACTGATGCATCATTTACCATTATATCATCTGCAGAATGAGAAACTAGAAGAGGTTTTAGTTAAGATGAAACAAGAAATTCAGCAGATGACAAAGTGAGTTCATACATACACTTACAGGGAATGCTGATGAATATCAATCTTTGACTTCAATTTTATTTTTAAACCTTTTGCCCCTAAAGGAAACTGAATGAACAGACTGTCTACATCACTAAGCTGGAGAACTGTCTTCAGCAACAGAGGTAAAAATACACTCAAAATTCTGACCGTCTAGTGGAGTATTAGAATTAGTTTCTATTTTATTGTTTCAGAATTACACCATTCTAAATGTTTGTTTTGTGTACAAACCTAAAATATTTAGGCAAATCTGATATTAAGAAGGAAATAAGCAAATTAGAAAATCGTTGCATGTCAGAAAGTACCGATTGTTCTTTGTATAAGGTACGATTTAGTTTTTGGCTGCAATTCTAAAAAGCTCCCACAGGGTGTCACTCATGTCACATCCTCTTCTGTCCATCGCAAGCAGAACGTGTCTTTAAGACAGTTTTCACATATGAGAAAAATAAGGTTAAATTAAATATAATGTGTTTTCCCATTTTTAATTTAAGAAGAAATATTGTGGTCTTTAGGATTCTAAAAAAAATAGTTAATTATTGCGTATTAAACATTTTGCATTTAAAGTGTCTTTTGGCTGAGCCTGCTATCTGTTTTGATTTGAATAATGCCTTTTTTTCTTGCTGATCTCAGTGACAGACCTTTGTCAGCATCTAAGAGGAGCCAAAACACTTCAAATGGACAAAAACCAGGTAAACGGTTTAACTTTTTGTAAAGAGATCATGCAATTTTTGTTTTCCTTAAATGTGTTAACCAAATTCTTTTTACTCAGCGAAGTTTTCAGTTGTTTTTGGCTAATTTTAAATATGTGTCCACATTTTTAGTTGTATTGTGGCTGTACTCTAGCTTTAACAATGATGAAATTTTTTATGCTGCAGTTTGTATGATTTATACATATACATATATTTTACATAAAAAATGTACTTGGCGTAAAAACCTGGATCTGTTTCTTC